TAAGAGTTGGAAATAAGTTTAAAGGATTTCCCTCTCTATAAGTAAATTGACGTGTTTGAACGATTTTTTCTTTAATGTCATTAAGAACCCTAAACTTAAACGGTTTCGTTTTCGTTGGCCCATCCTGTATATATAGTGTATACGAGCCCCGTCCCGCTTCAATTGGCATACTTCTTAAATTTTTAGTAAAACCTTACGAGAAGAAATACATAAATCTGCCAAAAGCTTTTTTTATTATTATTCATCAAATATTTTGTCAACAAATTAAATCAGTTTTTCTAATTTTGACATGTAAAGTGACTTTATGAAATTGGTAAAGAAACATTCATTATGTTACCAGTTGCATAAACATAGGGGGTGTGTGGCTCAGTGTTAGAGTCTCTGCCACTCGCGTATCGGGGACAACACTAATTATTTGTTAATGCTGTCGTGGGAGGTGTTTGCATGAATAGGTCTTGTTTGTTTTCATTTACGCCGTGACTAGCAGTAGTATTTTATAAAACTTAGAAGAAAATTTCACATACATCAACAAATAATAAAATGCCGTGACAACAAGAAGACGAAGCAACGACCATAAAATTTCAATCCATACCTGGCTATGCCGACCGGCATAAACACCAACGGCCTGGACACAGCTCATCTACTCTGTCAAAAGGAAACCGATGTACAAATAAAACGCGTACGAATGCGCACTATAAATATTTAGTGTTGTCTCCGATACGCGAGTGTCTACCTGCGGATCCAAGGGTCCCAAGTTCGAATCCCACCCTTGACCGGGATTTTTATTTTTCATTTAATTCCTTTATTTAAATTTTGATGCCTTAGCAGGATTCCCCGTTCGACCATTCACTGTTCGATTCTAATTAACAGTGCTGTTCCTAAAGTGACGCTGGGAAACAGTAACAAAGCCTATACATAACACGAGGCGAAATAATATTAGTAGTTGAAGCCGGTGACACACAAAAAAATTAAAATGATTTTAAAAATATACAGGGTGTCCCATTAGTACGTAATTGCTCGATAAATCAACTTGTGTTACAGACACACAAATAAATTTCAGATAACAGTTAAATCCTACTCGACCATTCACTACTGGGTTCTAATTAACAGTGCTGTTCCTTAAGTGGCGCTGGGAAACAGTAACAAAGCCTATACAGAACACGAGGCTAATAACCTTAGTACTTGATGCCGATGACACCAAATATGGATTTTAAAAAGGCATATTTTAAATACATTTTTGGATATATAGGATGGTATACTTTTGCAGGTCAAATAAATTGGTTTTAATGGAACACCCTATTTTATTTCAATTTAAGACTAATCTAGTGATAATGTATATAACACTAAAATATTTTTGGCATTTAATTATTTTGTGAAATTTCAGAATGATGCAGACCCCAAATAAAATTATCATAATTTAGGCAAGTTAGCAAAATTATTTTAAATACAGTAAAGCTAACGAATTGGGGTGATATAACTGGTTTATATTATACATTGTCTTGAAACATGTCTTAAATATGGTTAATTTTAAGTTCAATTTACTCGATTTTTTCAAATGAAACACCTTGTATATTATTTTAGCATATTTTTTTATAAATTTACCTGTCTAACTATAGCAACAGGTTAGCCAATTATACATATACGGGGTGTCCCATCAATGCGTATATGATCGATAGCTGTTTTATTGTTGGAGATACAAAGAAATTTTTAATACAAAAAATGTAAGAGGAGATTTTATAATTATTCTTAAATTTACAGGGTATTCCATAAATGAAAGGCGAGCGAAACTTAAACAATTGGATAATATATTAGGTTGTTTTCAAATCTTTAAATAATTTTAATAGACTTAAAATTCCTAAAATGTTTACTTTTTTAATTAAAGGTGAGATTACGATATTTTAATTTTTTTTAAAAGCAATACCCTGTATGTTATAATACCCATTTATAAATAAATTTCTTTATTTTTCATTTTGTTTGGCATTCCCTATACGAAAACGCATTTTTCTCAAGATTTTGATGGTTTTATTACAAAAATTTACATTTTTCTAATGATCATTGGCTTTAGAAAAATTGGTAAGATACAAAACTACAAATGGGTAGGTCTAATTGATTTTTATAATTCTTTAAACAGAACAATCCTATTTTCAACTCGATTCTTTTGAAAATTAAAATATTTTTTATACTACTTATCATCAGTAGTAGCTCTAGATTACAGAGTTTAATACATCCAGATAAATACAGGTAAAAATTTATGACAACTAAAAACATAACAAAAACGCCTAAAATGTTTGTTAACCCATTTTATGAAAATAATTAATGGTTTTCTGTTCTCTCGACGTCACAAATATGTGTTTTGGCATAAGGAATGCAAAAAAATTAAAGTAGAAGATATAAATTAATTAATTAATTAATTGGTGGTATACTATATAGGGTATTCCATTTAAAAATTAAGAAAATCGTAACTGAGTTTTGAGATACCCTGTATACAACATAACAAATGAATGAAGTCTATTAAAACAGTCAAATATGAGTAACTACCTTTTAAAAAGTATAAGTTTTGTCTGCTTCTCTACCCTACATATTAAAAAATAAATATTAATAAATAAGTTCATGCAACTTTTATACTAAAAATTTCTTCGTAATTCCAATTTCATAACCGCTATCGATCAATTACGTACTGATGCGACAACCTGCATATGTATAATTGGTTAACCTGTTGCTAACGTTGAATATGTAAATTTATAAGAAATTTTATGCTAAAATATATGTGTTGTATTTGAAAAAAATTAAGTAAATTGAACTTAAAATTAGCCATATTTAAGACGTGTTTTAAGATCCTCTTTATAAAATAAATCAGTTCTATACCCTTTTTTGTAGCTCGGTATCTTATAAGTCTGTATTTTAAACAATTTGGAAATAATTGCTAACCTACCTAAATTTAATTCTCTAATTTCACCAAAAAAATCAATTGCGTGGCAACTTGTAATATTATATTGTGCCGTGAACCCACCCCATATTTTTTGAATATTTGCTTTTAATTCTGCCACTGATCTTGCGGATGCCGCACACAGAGGCTGTTTCATTATTTTTCATGTCTCTATGCTCTCCATTCTAACGATGACATATACGGAGTGGCCCAAAAGTCTGGAAACGGCCAATTATCTCGTAAATTGATAGTCCTAATTGAACACCTATTTTGGGATACGGATATTCCAGATTTGATATTTGCAATGTTGCCAGACTTACCGTTTCTCTTATATTATTAGTCACTTTGGTTTTTAAAATTCATCACCCTTTATATTGTCATTAAAGGAATCTCCTATTTAATACGAGTTTAACCATATGTAACACTTATGATTTTATGTAGTCTGGAAGGTCTTAAATAAATAAAACAATTATGGAGAAATGTGGTAGAAGCATTCTATCATCGATTAGAGTACTGTTAACTCACAAATGGAGCACATTTTGAATACTTGATAAAGTAATCATTATGTTAAAAATGGTGTAATCTTTCAATTGTTACGTTTAATGTAGTTGAAAATAGTTTGTATTAAAAAATTTATTGAGATAATTAGGCGTTGCCAGACTTCTGTTTCATTTATTTAAGACCTACTAGACTACATAAAATCATAAGTGTTACATATAGTTAAACTCGTATTATTGAATAGGAGATTCCAATAATGACTTAATATAGTGAATTTGAAAAACCAAAGTGACTAATAATATAAGAGAAAAGGCAAATCTGGCAACATTGCAGATATCAAATCTGGAATCTCCGTATCCCAAAATAGGTGTAATCCAAATTTTTTACAATTAGAACTAGCAATTTACGAGATAATTGGCCGTTTCCAGACTTTTGGGCCACTCTGTATATTATTATCAATAAACTATTTTAAGAGCAAACCGAATATTTCGGGAGAGCAAAAATGTTTTAAAAGAAGGAGATATTATAATATTACATTTTAGTATGACAAACTAAACAAACAAAAAATACCAGCGAATACAAAGCAAATCAGTTCCAGACTATTTCTGTCAGACGGTCATGGTTATGTTAAAGAATATTAGCGGCAGATAAATTATTTGATTTTTACAGTGAGATAAAGTGTTTGTATAGTTCCGCAAATCGCTCTGGTAATGCATGGCTTTATTGACCTTTGGCGATAAAATTGTAATTATATGCGTGCCACTGGGAATACTTCGTGATTTTATGTGTCTTGATTTGGAGCTTTAAATGTGTGCAACGAGAAGGCACCATCTTCAGAGACGTTTAAGAAAAAATGGTGGGAAATCCTATTTAAAAATTACTAGATATTTAATAAAAAAAAAAACAGCAAATTTAAATAGATTTAATACAGAACGGCACTTAAATGTATTTTTGAAATTCTTTTTAAAATTTTTCAAAATAAATACTCTTCATAAAAATTAAAGATTCATCCAGCGCTAAGTTTTGTTTTTATTAAAAAAAAATAATACTTTCTGAAAATGTCAAAAAAATCGGACTAAAAATAAATGCTCAGAAGGAATTTTTAAATTTTCGAGGTGTTCAATTTGCTGTTAACGCTTTTTTGGTGTTCAAAGATTATTTAAATGAAATTAAAAAATTAATTTAAAGTTTGCTAATTGTAATAGAACAGAACTCGTAAATATTTCGCACGAGTACAGGAAATACACTATCCAACAAATTATGAACACTATTTTTTCTGCTAACATAACGCGCAAACAAAATGATAATTTAATTTCTATAAAACATGCCTTGTTAAGTAGAGTAGCATAAAATGTGTTACCTAAAATATTTAAAAAACTAGAAAAAAATTCTAATAAATAAATTTATGTGACTCCATATCAATATCAATTTTAAATTGCAGCTGTATAATATCATTTTCGTCCTTCATTTTATTCAGTTCTACATGCTCCAGAAACCCATTTACAAGTTCAATGTCTGAACCAGATATCCTGTTAATGAATCATGGCATGTTTATTTGCTGGTGTCTCCATAGAAACGAAAATATTAAATCGAATATCTACCTCCTCTATGTTTGCAGGAAGTCAGTATACAATTATTGTTAAAGCATAGATCATTTCTAAGATATTACTGATAAAAGAAATAAAGAAAACTCTCAGAAAATTTTGATTAGTTCCCAGATGAAAGCAAGTTTCATTAAATATCATTAACGTCAAACTGAATTGTGATTTCTGTCAATAAGTGCCAATGATAGAAAATTAAATAAATTAACAAAACTATAAAAATGCCCATAGTAATAAAAGATTATAAATGGAAACAATCTGACAGTGATATTATTATCACAGTTCCTATACCTTTGAAGAATGTTCACGAATCTAAAGTCGATGTGTTCATTTCGTCAAGATTTGTGAAAGTTTCGTATGAACAGTACTATTTTGAAGCGGTGTTAGAAAGGCCCATTAACAAACAAACCAGTCGATGTACATTAACGAATGCCGATATTGTTTTCGAGTTGGAGAAGGCCGAAATTGGGGAGTGGAAATGTTTGGAACCAAACGTCAGCAAGGTAAAGATATTATGAAGTACTTTTGGTAGATATTGCGAAAACGCTCTTTTCTTAAAAATACATTTTTTTTACAAAACTTACATTTTAGGATTTAGGAAGGAGAGTATTTTTCAAATATACCACTGGAAACCCCAATTAATGTTTTTTTACATTTTACATATTAAAGGCTTATGTAAACTTAAGCATTAGAATTTAAAATATGTCATGCTCTGTCAATACAAATAGGCGCGATTTTGCCAAGTATAGAATTAAAATCAACGAAAAAGAAATATTAGGCATTAGGCATTCCAAACAAAATGGCTACCAGTGGGTTTGACAGGTTATGTTATGGCAAAATTATGGCAACCCTGTAGGCCTGGTGATTGGACAGAGTCACTGAAATAGATAGTTAAATAGAATAATCAGCCATATTTTTTAAAATAAATATAAACTTAGGTATGCCCTGAAGTAAAAATGTAGGTAATTATTTTTTTTTTTACTATATTCAAGAGCTAATTATTGGTTTGTAAATACATTTTTGCAAAATCGATTCTGATTAATGAGCACTTGCGAGGCAATATTGCCTCTCGCAAACGATCCGCTTTGAGCAATCTATATAACTATATATGTATAATTGACACTGTCAATAACAACAGGATCACAGGTTTGCCATACATAAATGTCAGTTTCCACTTGTCAGCAGTTTGACAGGTCAAAGGAATGCATAATTCCCACATACTTTTAGCGGATTCGACTCAATTGCTCTTGCTCCATGACAAAGCGGTTTTAGTTCTGAATTGATTTTGGTCAGCATTTTTATAATTCAAGTTTATATCTAGCAGTGCACACAGCAAGCACGAGCTACAGTTCGACATTGGTGTAGCGCATCTTTATCGTTATTCGACTGGCACAGTTAGCACTTGACATTTCAGGTTTCTTCCAAATTTTTAATGATATTCATTTTTTATAGTTGCCAAACCAAAATTATATCTCTATTAATTTCAAAGATTTTCCATTCTCACTAATAATAAAGACAAAGATGGTAATATATTTAAAAATAGTAAATAATTCCTAACCTCCAAAATAACACTGACACTAAAAAAAACTACAGTTCCAAAAAATTTTATATAACCGATATTTTGGGTATTTTTTAAAATTATCGATTTATCGGTTAATCAGCTTTTTAATAATCGATTATTTTCGATGTGTCGATTATTTTCGATAATCGAATAATCAATTTTAAAGGAAATATGAAAAAAGGATTATTAGAAAATAATCGATAATTCGGTTATTTTTTGGAAAATCAATTTATCGTAGAATCAGCTCCTTAATTAATTGGTTATTTTCGATTAGGCGCTTATTTTGCAATTATCGATTATTTTTGGTATTTCAAAGATAATCTAATTATCGATTTTAAAGGAAATACAATAAAAATAGATTATTGATGATAATCGATTGATCGAAAATAATCGATTATTTAAAATAATCAATAATTCTGTTTTTTTTTTAAATTGATTTATCAGTTAATCAACTTTTCAATTAATCGATTATTTTTGATTAATCGATTGTTTTCGATTTTTCAAAGATTATCGAATAATCTGTTTCAATGGACGAAAAAACAATGGTTTATTTAAAAATAATCGATTATTTAAAATAAACGATAATTATTTTATTATTTTTTGTAATCACAGATTTATCGGTCAATTGGATTTTTAATTAATCGATTATTTTTGATTTTTCGAAGGTAATTAAGTAATCGATTTTAAAGGAAATACGACAAAAAAATATATTGTTTAAAAATAATCGACTGATTGAAAATAATCGATTATTTTCAATGATCGATAATTTATTTCGATAATCACTCACACCCCTAGCAACCAAATAACTTTTAATAGATTTAAATTTTAAAATGTTATCTCAGACATATGCATTTCTAAAGTTTTATGTGACTCATCCTCTATAATAATTAATATTCTTAAAGAAAGAAGCCTTAATATACCTTTTTCTGTATATATATATATATATATATATATATATATATATATATATATATATATATATATATATATATATATATATATATATATATATATATATATATATGTAATAGCCGTATAAAAATATATTGTTCAACTCATAATGTTAGATTTGCAGTATTCGCCTGCGCGCATGCTTTTTTTATAATACTGGTAGACAATGAGTACCATTTCTTGCCCTATTACCAATATTCTATATCAACATTTTACTGTAATCTCTTGCAGAAAAGTCAATAGTAAATAAACACTAACGAAATATTCTATAAAAGGTGTTCTGTTCCCGCGCATTTTAAGATTTATTTATATATTTTTTTTATTATCTATTTTCATTTGGGCTCACAATATTAATTATTTATATTTATTAATTGCGTTTTTATATATAACCACTTTGCGTTTGGTAATATCAATATTTAATATATTAAATAATTTTCATTATGTTTATAATTAATTATTATAAAGGTTTGCTTTCTTCACTTATATATTTATCCATTCCTACATATTCCGATATTTAATCGCCTTCCTTCTGAACTTTGAACCATTTTTTTTGGCCTTTCGCCGTTTCTTCGAACTGTCAAAGCCGCAACTACAGAGAGAACGAAAACGAACAGCGTGCTCGAAACATCGAACCATCGAAACACCGTACTCGGAATTTTTGTTAATAATTCAAAGCCGGCAAACCCGTGAACGAAAGAAATTTATATTTTTTCGTGTTACGAATTGTGTTGCGCATCGCATTGCGCGAGTTGAAGAAAACCTGCATCCCCGGATAAAGAAGACAATTAACATTCCCTCATATTCCGGTAAGTTAAGTAAACCTTTAATTTCTTTTTATAAAACCTTGATTTCATTCTTGTTCAGCAGATATATGCAAATAATTTAATTAACACTAAAAAGTGGATCCTTTATGAACTCAACGTCCCTATTAAATACAGTCCGGAACTATTGGAAAAATAATTAATTATTCCTGTAAAGTTTATTAAGGTAAAGATAACTTATAACTTCACCAAATAAGCTAGTTCCATTGCAAAAGGTATTCTCTTTACATAAAATGTCGTGGCATCTGTCTGATATTAAAAAATCACGTTAATTTTATTTCATAATACAAAATTTCATTAAACATCTAATAGTTCATTATGATGCTAATAAACAAAGTCCGTTCTCTGCCAGAGAGTTCGGGTCGCCGCCCAGTTCCCCCACTCCGTTAACCTTTCTTTAGAAATTGGCTTCATTTGCGCAGGTTAAACACCGGTGTGTGTTATATCTCTGGTCTCTTTTATCTAAGGGTTGGACAAAGCAGTTACAGGCAAACAAGAGAAAGAGAAACCAGAAAAATTCGTACACTATCAGGTACATGAACATCCAGGTAAAAAAAATTAATTGTAAAAAAAGTTGCAAAAAGTTGTAAAATTTAATTACATGTACATTTAAGTATTACACTATATAAAAGGTGGGAAACGGACGGAACATAAACAAAAACAATTTTAATTCTGGGTAAAAAAAAGTTTTCAAAAATTTTTTACTGTATTTCAAAAAGTAAAGAAAATAAGAAGGAAACACCACGGTACATTTTTAATATGCTAATTGAAAATACATATCTTTATTAATAATGTCCATAACTAAAAATTGTTAGTTCTTGCACACCTTCACCAAAAAAATTATTAGCAATTCTTCAGAATTTTAATTGAATTAACATGTCCAGTTAAATACAACCAAAAAAACTGTTTGTTTGACACTGTGTCAAAACAACAAGCACCATTTTTTTGTTTCCCTGTCCAGCCTATCAACTATTGTGTTTACTTTGAAATCCATGTATTTTATGCAAATTGGTGAAGTTGCATTCTTGATTTTTTCCGTCTTTTTTAGCAGGTAATTGGGACGAGTGAAACATGCTCTTACGGTGTAGGTGTAAAAAGGGCACAGGCGAATTTCGAGAAATAACCAAACGCGTTTGCTTCTAAGGTAGTTAGGACGTGAGAGGACTAGCGTGCTATTTTGGTGTAATTTGTCAGGCAACTTTTTAAATGTTTTAAATTCTAATAGGTTTACCAATAATGTTTTGGATAAAAAATTATAAAATAAATCAAATTATCAGTATCTCAGAAATATATCGCATCATTATTCTAAAATTACGCAAGGACGTATTCGAGTTAATGAAGTTGGCACAATGCGGTTTTAACAGTTTTATTTTAAATTTATTAGAGTACGAAAAAATCTTAAAAAAAATATTCTTACGTATTTTGGATGTACGTTTTAAGTAATAATTATGTACTGCAGCACCTCAATCAAAATAGATAAATATCTTCGGATGTGACTAAAAATAAATTAATAGAAAAGCTTTTTAAAGTGTATGAAAATATTATGACAAAATTTTTTTATATATTTATTTTTCGTTGATTTTAATTGGACACTTGGCAACACCGCGCATATTTGGATTGACAGAGCATAACAGATATATTTCTTTATTCTAATAAATAAGTTTACATAAATGAACACTTAATGATCCTCATAGGCCCTTAATATATGTAAAATGTTTTAATAAAACGTTAATTTATTGGGTTTCTGGTGGTATATTTAAAAAATACTCTCCTTCCTAAAGCCTAAAATGTAAGTTTTGTAAAAAATTGTACTTTTAAGAAAAGGGCGTTTTCGCAATATTTACCGTGTTTTTGTCTATAAATTCTATTCTATTTTGTATAAATCCATAGGAAAATTTTTAGATAGATAGACGCTTTCGGCTATTAATCCATTAAGACAATATAATAAAAATATATATTTTTTTAAAATGTTATTCATACATATTAGTCCGTCGGATGGAGCGCAAAAATTCACTTAGTTTCGGAGCTAAAAAAATAGGGATAATTAAATATGAAAAAGTATATTTTTTATATAAAAATTGGAAATTAATGACTCTCCATTGGTCGAAAATAAGGATGTAGGCAAAAATCTTAAAAAAATGGATTTATTTTTTGTTAAATTTAAACTGTC